TCCAAAACTGTGTGCAAGTGTACCTAGAAGAACTGATGCTGTTTTGAAGGCAAAGGCAAACCAAATATTGATTTGATTTGGATTTCTCTTCTGTTTGCTCACTTTACATTTTGTAAATTGATAAACATAAACAATTACAATATATATTTTTGAAAGCAATCTTACTTTACAGCATTTTTTCACACCTGCCTAAAACTTCTGCACACAGTACTGTATTTTATGTAATTATTTTTTTAAAAAATACAACTATTTGCTTAAATTTCACAGACACTATTGTTGAGCTGCTACTTAACTTTTACTGGATCTCTGAATTTTAAGGGATTTGCAGCAGGAAGTAAAACACTAATTTTAAAACAAGCAAATATAAGTAGTGCACCTCTATTCTATTCAATATAGCTTGAGCACATGAATAAGCTCCATAAAAAGGAGTGGAAACAATGTAACATCAGTGCTTGGTGTTGTATTATTTGTGATGCATCATTATCTTCCTCCTGACATTTTTGCTAAAGGCCTCAACAGATGGCAGCACCTAGCCAATCCTGGCTGATCTCAGAAAATTAAGTAGGGTTGGCCTAGTTAATGCTTGGATGACGTGCTAGGGGCCATATTAGAAAGTTGAAGGGATATCCCAGAGGAGGATAAGGGTAAACCCATACTGTTGCCAAGAAAACTACATGAATGTGACCATGTAATCACCAAAGGTCAAACCTGACTCAAAAGGACTTTTACTCTATAATGTGCTTGAACCAGACAACCTCTTGGGAGCAAATATTTCTAAAAAAGTATCACAGTAATTAAAATTCACCCTTTTGAGGTTTAGCAAAGGTATGATGATTCTGATGTTTGAAGTCATCTTTTCTAAGTATAAAAGCATTGGGTATACTCAACAGTATTTCAAAGAAAATCAACTCTCCATTTCACTATTGAACTAGTCAGCCTAGATGGACCCTCTAAAATTACAGAGAATGAGTGTTGAGATATTATGGGGCATGTAAATGTATAATAATGTATTTGGATACAAGTTCAGTTTTGTTCAGGAAGTACATGATTAACTAAGATCCCTTGAAATCCTATACATACTTACTGAAGTTATTTAGAAAGCACAAAGGAAAACTCTATAAGTATTATATTTAAGTCTACTTAAAACTCCTTTTTGGGTCTGGTCATAGGTAGCTAATTTTACCTGTTGAGAAACATGAGAAAGTTGAGCTTCCTGTAGAGTGGTACCTTGTAAAGATGCTATTTGTGGAGATGTTGATGAATTGTTATTACTGCTTTTGGGCACCTCGTCCATAATCAACCTACAATATACCAAAAATACACAATATGCATAATTAGTAAAAAGAAATTGATACCTTTTTAAAGGATATCTTTATACATACATGATTCATCTATATTTACTTGTGAATTATAAATAGGATATGGTGTCAGGAATATCAATATAGGCAATCCAGGGATATAAACATGGCTGAATTGCACACACTGAAACCAATGGAACTTATAGAAATACAAGTACTTTAAAGCTATAAACTTATACTCATTTATATGGGAATAAAATCCACTGCACTCAGTAGGGTTGAAGTCTAAGTAAAAAGGATTAGGTACTTTTAACTTTTACTTCCATTGCTGCTGTAACTGTCTAAATTTTCAAAATATATAATGCATTTCCACTGAGCCAGGTGGACCAGTTTCCAGAATCTGAAGTAATTTTTATTTTAACCATTTATATTACAAAAGTATGTTCTAAAATATATAGAGTATCCCCACCACTTGATATTACAGGTAGTCCTTGTTTAATGATGCTAATTGGGACTGGAAACTTCATTGTTAAGCAAAGTGATCATAATTTGAAAAACCACGTGACTGCGCTGCTTAGTGATGGCAGTTCCAGTTGCTGTTGCTAAATGAGAACCGTGGGGGTTATTAAGTGAGGACCTCACGTAACCACGACTTTCGACTTCCTGCTGGCTTCCCCACTGACTTTGCTTGTGGGAAGCCAGCAGGGAAGGTTGTAAATTGTGATCACTGAGGGATACTGCGTTGTCATAATCGCAGTCCAGGCGCCAAATGCCTGAATCATCATGTGACCATGGGGACGCTGCACCAGCCGTAAGTACAAGGTCCAGTTGTAACTACCACTCATTCTGTTCAAGTTTGAACAGTCGCTGAATGAGTCGCTGAATGGGTGGTCATTAAACAAGGACCACCTGTATATTAAATCCTGTAAAACAGGAACAGACTGTGAGAAAAATCATGGCAGATATATGGGCAGATAGCATTGCAAAAAGGGTGCAGTTGTTGGGGACAGTTATGTCACCATGATGATAATGAAAGAAGAATGAAATGAATTGTGTTTTTATATTCACACATGTGCAATATATTTTATATTAATTTTCTTATATTAAATAAATATTAAACAGTATTTTAAATCAGAGAACTATGAGATTCCTATTTCATGCAAATACCATCCTATTTCTTCACTGCTTCTCTGAGGGTTTCAGCAAACTGAGATTATCTTCTCCCGTGCCTGCCAAGTTTTGTCTTTTTCCTCAAGAGAAGAGGAATGAGGTAAAGAAGTTAGCTCCTATCTTTGTATCTGCTGTATGCAACTGTCATGCATTCTTACACCTGCAGCACAGTTAAGTATTATTGCCTAGTCAACTGCACTACTGTATACAAAGAATTTAAATAAAAATACCTCCCAAGCATTCAAAGTTGATCTACCAGCTCTGAGCATGCTGCTACAAAATATTTCAACTAGTTGCAGGAGCTGTGCCTGACAAACTGAAAAATATATTTCTTTCAATGGAAATATGACTCACTGATTTTTCCCTGTTGAATTCAACCACAGGAGCTTAGTATTGAAAGTATGCTGAGTATAAGTCAACACTCAGAATCTTCCATTCTCAACAACAACGACGAAATTCTGCAATTGATATCAGATAGTGGACATAAAGTCACAGCTAACTATATACCACTACCCTATTTTCAGAACAACATTTTAAATTCCAATAATAGAATCATTCCATGGATATTATTTCCAAATTTTATACTTTGAAAATTTGCAAGGCTATAACAGCACACAAAAGAAATAATTATCCCCTCCTCTGCAAAAACAAACCAACCAACCCTAGGGGAAAGACCTCTAATATTCCTGTAAGGGATAATATAAGATAGACATACAGAAAAAAAAAATAACTTAAGCTGAAACAGGAAATGAATGTAGTGCATTCATAAAAGACATAAAAAGGATCCAGGTGAATATTTCCTGACTGGAGCTGAGCTGCTATTTAAAAGTGTTCCCAGAGAATATAAGGGATTATAACAAGGAAGTCTTCAACCTGAGATTGGCAGTATACAGAGCTTTTGTTCCAGTCAGATTTGGTGGTATTTCCTACAGATCAATGCAGCTGGGGTAATTTGAAATTTTAGCATAATTCATGTGAAGTTATATCAGAAAATAACTAGCTCCCAGTCTGTTTTCAGTCTTCTTTAATATTGAACAAACCTAGAGACTAGTGGTTTGCCTGTCAGCCCTAAGACTGCAAAAAAAAAAAAAAAAAAAAA